TCCTGCCCAACTTTGTCCTGCAGATGGCAACACATCTGAAGCCAGGGGAAGGCAGGACATGGGAACCCCATTTATAAATGTGAAAACTGAGACTCGGAGAGGCTGAAGGACTTACAAGGACCCGGGCTGGGACTAGGATATGGGGCCCCCAGGGAAGGTTAGGGTCCACACAGTGCCTGCCTGGTGATCGAGTGAGGAGGTTGGTGGAGACCCCAGGTGGGGATGGAGGGAGAAAAGCAGCCCCAGGCTTGTCCCTCGTCACTGCCCTCCGTTCTATGGAACATAGCTCCTCACTCAGTCTGGTTGAGAGAGACCCATGTCCCAGCTTAGCCTGGGGATGGGCCTGGGATCTCTGGTCACTGCTCTGCCTTCCTCCCACAGGGAAGGGCACTCGTCATGCTCTGCAGGCTGCCTCCTGGCCTTTACCAGGGCCGTCCCGTGCCTGGAATCCATCCCTCTACAGTCTCAAGTTACTTGTCAGGTCTCAGCTCCACGACCCTTCCTGTGGGATGTCTTCCCTGACCCCTGAGTCTGGGTCTGGTGCCCCTTCCCCAACCATTGCTGCCTGCATCACCCTATTTCTGAGTGTTCTGTCTGTACCCCACCCTCCTTCCTCTGGGAACTCAGGGGCTGGGTCCCAGACAGCTCCCAGCCCCAGAACTCAGCATGGCATGTAGTTCAATTAATACCGATTGAGCTCAGCTCCCTCCTCTCCGCCTGGCCCGAGACCCCCGCCCCGGGGAGAATGAGCCCCCAGCACACGTCTCCTCACCTGATTAGCTTTCTCCAGGTTGGTCATGATCAGGCCGACTTCATCTGCCCTGAGACAGAAAGACGAGGCCCTGAGGAAGGGATTCTGGCAGCCACCAGTGCCCCCGCCATTCCTGAAACCCCCCAGCCCCTGCCAACCCAAGGGTCTCGCAATGGAGGCCTCGAGAAGGCTGCCTTCCATCCTTCCTACTGGAGAGAAACCAAGCTGGGGGGGCGGGGAAAGAATCCAGGCTGGGGGGAAATGAAAATGGGGCCTTAGCACTGGACCCCTTCCAGGCAGCCTGGCCTCCCATCTCCCCCAGGGCTCCACTCTCTGAAGGTGCCACAGAGCTACACCTCTCAGCCTTTGCCTCTGCTATGCTTTCCACCTGGATGCCTTCCTCAAGAGAACAGGGCCTGAGCTTTAAACCCAGCTGCAGAGTGTTCTCCTAGGAGGCCTCCCTCAACTACCCTCATTTATTTTGCTGCATCACCACCCCCTTAGGTTGACAGCGCCTAAAGGATCGGGACAGGCCTCATCCACCTCGGCTGCCCCTTTGCCTAGCAAGGGGTGGGGCCACAAGGGGCCTGCAGGGAGCATTTGGTGACTGAACGCCACACATGTGCTACACGCATGTTCCAGTTCAAGGCCTTCTTTGCATAAGCTGTTCCCACTGCCCAGAGCACCTTTCCAAGCATTCTTCATGTGGCCATCTCCTTCCCATCTTTGAGATCTCATTCTGAAGGTCATCTCCTCAGGGAAGTCCTCCCTGACTACCTGGATAATAGGACACACCCCTCCATGTTATTCTCTCTTGCTGCTCCTGTTTTTTCCCTTCATGGCATTTACCATGTGGCCACAACAGTGTCAGGCATACAAGTAAGTGCTCAACAGTGTCTGTGAATGAAAGACTTTATTCCTGTCCATCAGCTAGTGTCTGTCTCCTCTCCTTGACTGAGGACAGGCCCATGTTCTGGTGTTTCCTCCAGGGACCCAGCATAGCACTGGGTAAACAGTAGGTGCTAAATAAGTGTTTGTGGATTAAGTTATATCTTAAAGCCTGAAGAAATGTTGAGTCCAAAGTAATTTAAGTTAATGACACTTGGCCCTAAGGGTTGGACTGTGAAGCTGGGGAGTGGGGACAGCCCCTGGAGGCTGGGGCAAGGCAGAGGCCCATGACCAGCAGAGTCCGCTTAGCTGGAAACCCAGAATGTCCTTTATAGCTTGTGCTACATGGATGGCACCACAAATAAATGCTGAACAGCTGTGAGCCTATGCGGGTGTGGAGCAGAGAGTACTTAATTAAATGGGTGTCTCAGGTAGAATCCGAGGGAGAATATCAGAAAGAGGAGGCATGTCTAGAGGGTGAGAGGCAGGAGGCGTGTCTGGGAGGGTCAGAGGGAGGAGGCATGTCTGGGAAGGTCAGAGGGAGGAGGCATGTCTGGGAGGGTCTGAGGGAGGAGGCATGTCTGGGAAGGTCAGAGGGAGGAGGCCTGTCTGGAGGGTAGGAGGGAGGAGGCATGTCTGGGAAGGTCAGAGGGAGGAGCCGTGTCTGGGAAGGTCAGAGGGAGGAGGCCTGTCTGGAGGGTAGGAGGGAGGAGGCATGGTAAATCTGGTTTGTGAATTTTACCACAGTGAAAATGAATTAATTACAATACACCACCACACCAAAAAAAAAAAAAAAAGGATTTGGGACCCTTTCACAAGTGTAGGCTCTAAGGTGGAAACCCTAGGAGGCAGGGGGGTCTAACAGCTACCAGTCGTGCGTTCTAATCCTGGCTCTGCCACTAACTGGCCAGTGACCTTGGGCAAGTCACTGTGCTATTCAGGCCCTCGATTTCTTCTTTTGTAAAACTGAAGGACAACGAGTCCCTCTGGTCAAGATTAACACAAGGATTAAAGAAGAAAACACTGTAAGTGGTTAGCACTGTGTGTGACAAATGACCACCGTCATTGTAACAGTTGTATTAGTCCTCAATTATAAAATATTTCAAAGCTATAGAAATGTACAGAAAAGTCCTCCCTCCCTTCCCTGGGCCTATCACCTTAATAGATGTTAACACTGCCCTATTTGCTTCAAATTTCCCTGTTTGTTTTAAAGAAAAAAAGGAACAGAGACAGCCAGAGCCCTCTGGTCCCCTCCCAGTCTCTTCCTGGCCCCTCCCTGCCCAGAACAGCCCCTCCTCGCAGGCAGGTGGGTGGTGGCACCTTTTTTCATTTCTTGTCTGTGGGCATTAACTTCTAAAATAAACACCATCACTGGGAGGTAAGATTTTGTTCCCTGACATTATGTTTCAGGTACTACTCCTGTTGATACCCATTGATCTGGTTCATTTCTATGAACCTGAGATATGGTTTTTGTCCTACTGACCAATCCCCACTTTAGAAATGGACAAACTGACTGAGCTGAGGTGCTTGGACTCGGAGTCTGGCATCTCTTTGTCTCTGCCTTTCTCTGGCCTCAGCAGGTAGGTCAGATGTCCTGTCCTGGCAGCCATCCCCGTCACGGTCTGGGTAGGCATCTCACCAGGGCCTTGATGGATCTGCCCACTGACTGTCACTGGGGAGGGAGCTTGAGCTCCCTGGAGTCCCCACCTCAGGGCCCCAATCCCTCTACTCTCAGGCTCTGTAACTCTGGGCAACTCTCTGAGCCTCAGTTTCCTCACCCAGGAAAAGTTCAGACTCCACCCTGCCTGTGCATCATTAATGGATGGATAACAGCTGCCCAAGGCCCTGTGCTAAGAAGGATTCTGAGGCTGCATGCTGGATTGCTGGGAGAAAGAGATCAATCGGCAGACTCCTGACGGGATGGGAAGGAAGGTGGGGCTCCCCATGCAAAGTATTTTTTCCACTTGCTCCACGCACCCGGGTGCCACCTAGAGGTTTAAAACCAGTGCCTGTCTGGCTGAAGGAAGGATGAAAGGGGAGCAGGGACACCAACTAGGAGCAACCTGCACTCTTTCAGGGCAGCAGCAGTGGCGCCGGGGCTGTGGGGACGCAGAGGGGGGCAGACCCAGGCGGTGAAGCCACTGCACAGACTGGAAGAGTGAGGGCTCTTGGCACTTCTGGGGCCCTGTCTACACTCACCCTGGGAGGCGCTGGGCTGCTGGCTGACGGCCTGGCCGAGCTGGTCCGAGAGCCACAGCTGCATACGGATGAAGGGCTCCCGCCCCTTCTGCGTCAGCTTGCTCCACGGCTTCGGCCGGGACAGCATGTCACTCACACTGCCCTGAGACAGACCCAGCACCTGGGGATGGGCAGGGCAGGAAGGGTAGGTCAGCAGGTCTCCCCAAGAACCTTAAGGCCCACTGTTCACTCCTGTTCTGAGAGGCCAGGGCTGCCTTCATGTGTTCTTCACTCCCCAGGTGTCTGCTGTGTGCCTGTGCTGTACCCCCCACCTGCAGTGCCCTTCCTGATTTCCCTCCATCTAAAAATCCTGCCTCAGGAGTTCCCTGGCAGTCCAGTGGTTAAGGCTTTGCCTCCCAATGCAGATTCCTGGATGGAGAACTAAGATCCCACATGCCGCACGGGCAAAAAACCAAAACGTAAAACAGAAGCAATATTGTAACAAATTCAATAAAGACTCTAAAAATGGTCCACATCAAAAAAATCTTAAAAAAAAAAAATCCTGCTTGGGCTCTAAGACCCCTTAAGTGCCCCCTCCTCCAGGAAGCCTTCCTGTGTCTCCCATTCAGGTCATTTCGCCTTCCTCTGAGCTTATGACCCTTTGCCTGCTCTTCTGCTATGGCCGGAGGTGATGTTTAAAACTACTTAACACGGACTTCCCTGGTGGCACAGTGGTTAAGACTCCACGCTCCCAATGCAGGGTGGCTGGGTTCGATCCCAGGTCAGGGAACTAGATCCCACATGCATGTCGCAACTAAGAGTTTGCATGCTGCAACTAAGAAGCCGGTGAGCTGCAACTAAGAAGCCCATGAGCCGCAACTAAGGAGCACGCCTGCTGCAACTAAGACCCGGCACAACCAAATTAATTAATTAAAAAATAAATCTACATTTTAAAAAGAAATAAAACTACTTAACAACTGGTACCAACCAATCAGGAGACCACCCCCCCGCCCCCGCAAGCTAGGCTGAGCCTTAACCCTTTAGTGGATGGACCATGGGAAGGGTGGAGGGTACCCGAGCAGGGTCGGGTAGGTGGCTATTTCCTAACCAGATGGAAGGGTTTCACAGCTTTAAAAACCGCCTTGCCCTTGGATCCCCTTCCTCCAGTGCCCAGGGACAGCTGGAAACAGGAAAAAGGGCTTTTGGGGTCACACAGACCAGGGTCCGAATTCTGCTTCTGCCCAGTTCTTGCACACACGCACGCGCGCGCACACACTCACACACGCATTCTTTCCAGACCATGGACGTGGGATGGGGGTCCTCCCTCCCCAGGTCCCGTGCTCCAGGCCCCGGAGCCTCCGAGGGTGGGCCCCGCCATCTTCACCTTCTCCCCGAAGATCCTCTGGCAGATTCCATTCTTGGCCAGCTTCTCCTTGACCTGGCGCGTCAGCTCCAGGGTGTCCACCTCACGGTACATGTAGAGCTCGTATTGCTCGGGGGTCAGGGGCGGCACGGTGGGCTTCAGCGTGCGGGGCACGTAGGCCGGGTAGTAGGCCAGTCGCCCACCGCTGCCCCCCTCGGGGCCGCCCCCCTCGGCCTTGAGCTCACCCACCCTGGGGGGCTCGTCCTCACTCCCGGCCGCTTCCTCCTCGGGGGCCGTGGGCACCTCGTCCCCACGGGGCCAGGCCCGCCCGCTGGGCTGGCCGGAGTAGCTGGAGGAGGAGGAGGAGAGTGAGGGCGAGACGGAGGCGTAGGGGCGGCTGAGGAGGCCGCGGTCCGAAGCCCAGTGGTGGTCGAAGTAGCCGGCATCGCCGATCTCTGACTTGACCTTCCGGATGATGCTCTGCACAAAGGCGGCCGGGGACAGGACCGTGAGGGATGTCTGTGTGGCACTGCTGCTGGTCCCCCCACTGCCGACACCACCGCCGCCGACACCACTCTCCTCCTGCTTGACATGGGTCGGGGCCCCGTTCTGGCTCATGGCGGCCAGCGAGGGCCGCTCTGGGGGCGAGGGAGGCACCGAGCGGCCGCGGGGGCCTGCCTCCATCTCCAGTAGGGCCTGCTGCTGCGCTTGCATCTCACGGCGCGCTTGTTCCAGAATGTTCTTGATGGCATCTTCTGAGGTGCTGGCGGGGGCTGTGCCATTGGTGATGCTCAGTGGGGCTGTCGAGTTCTTGGGCTCACCTGTGGGAAAGATGACAGGGTGGCTGGAGGCCCATGGTCAGAGCATGGATTGAAGGGCAAAGATGTTCACAGCACAGTATTTATACCAGCAAAATGTTGGAGGCAACCTCTTTGTCCAACAGCTGGGGATTGGTTAAGTAAATTAGGGTCCATCCCCATGACAGATATTAGGCAGCCATTAAAAATCAGGCTGACAAATTATACTCCAATAAAGATGTTAAAAAAAAAAAAGGAAACAGAAAAAAAATCAGGTGGGCAGTGAGATTTTAGCACATGTGGAGAAAGTGCTCATGGGGATAATGTAACATTAAAAAAAGACTTGTCTTTTGCATATGCTGTGATCCATCTATGCAGATAAAAGCAAGTCCCAGAAGAAGACACACAGTATAACCTGCTTTCTAACTGAGCTGCGAAATAAGCAATGTATCACTTAGTGAAAACTCTTTTTGTTTTTTAAGAGTGGTAAACAAAAAGGAACAACAGAACATTGTTTCCCTCTGCCCTGTTAGTGGCCTTTCCCATGCTGAGGTCTCCCCACCCCTGGACCAACCCATATCAACACAGCCCTTCCTCTATTACCTGGTTGTGCAGTCTATACCCTAGTGGATCTTCACAGCCCCAATTTTAATTTCCAATTAAAAAGCAATAGAGCAATGGAATATTATTCAGCCATAAAAAGGAATGAAGCACTGATACATGCTACCATATGGAATAATCTTGAAAACATCATGCTAAGTGAAAGAAGCCGGACACAAAAGGCCACATATTGTATGGTTTCCATTCCTATGAAATATCCAGAATAGGTAGATTCATAGACACAGAAAGTAGATTGGTGGTTCCCTGGGGCTTAAGGGAGGTGGAGAGTTGGGAGTGACTGCTAATAGGTACAGTGTTTCCTTTTCGGGGTGATGAAGATGTTTTGGAACTAGACAGAAGCAGTGGTTGCACAACATTGTAAGTATACTAGACACCACTGAATTGTTCACTTTAAAATGGTTAATTTTATGTTATATGAATGTTACCTCAATTTTAAAAAAAGTAGGGGCTTCCCTGGCTGGCACAGTAGTTAAGAATCTGCCTGCCAATGCAGGGGACACGGGTTCGAGCCCTGGTCCTGGAAGATCCCACATGCTGTGGAGCAACTAAGCCCGTGCACCACAACTACTGAGGCCCGCGCGTCTAGAGCCCGTGCTCCGCATCAAGAGAAGCCACTGCGATGAGAAGCCCGCGCACCGCAACGAAGAGTAGCCCCCACTTGCCACAACTAGAGAAAGCCCGCACACAGCAATGAAGACCCAACGCAGCCAAAAACAAATAAATAAAATAAATAAATTTATTTTTTAAAAAAGTAATACATGCCTATTGTGGACAGCTAAGAATGCACAGAAAATTAAGATGAAAATAAAAATCCCCTCTAATCTTTCCCCCAGAGGCAACCACATGAAATTTTCTCATGTTTTTCCTTCCAATCTGTTTTCTAACAACATTCATGGGATGGTCACACTTGATATGCGGGAGTGTTGCCTGATTTGCCCTCACTTGGTGTCAACATGAGTATTTTTTCCTATGATTATAAGTTCTTCTATCTTTAATGGCTGCATATACCACTGAGGAAATACCCTGTGCTTTACTTACCTGATCCCCCACTGCTAGATACTTAGATTGTTTCTAGTTTGTCACTGTTGGAAACAACGATAAAGAGATAGCTTGTATATAAAATTTTGCCCCCATTCTGGACATTTCCTTTGACCCCCAAAAGTAGAGCTCCTAAGTTAGTGTCAACCACATTCATTTCCTTCCCAGAGGACTGCTAATTGCTCTCTGCTTAGCCTTCACTCTTGTCAGGGGCACGGGGGGGATAACCTGGCACTCTTCCTCTTGTTGAACTCTTCACAGACCCTTCACAGGAAACCCCCAACTATGCAAAGGTTTCCCTCTATGATGTTGCCTTTTTAATTTCTTTGCTGCCTTGTTTCTGACCCCACAGTGGGAGAGCACTGTACAGGGAGTCAGGAGACCTGGGTTCTCCTTTGGTCTCTGAATAACTGTGAGTATGTCTCCTCCTCTTTGGCTTCAGTTTTCCTGTTCAGTGGGAGAGTTAGATTAAACTGTTTCTCATGATTCTTTTCCCCCCAATACTGTGTCTCATCTATATGTGTAAGCCCTATCTAGCACACAGTAGACACTTAATAAATGTTTGGGACCCGTTTCATGGAAGACAGTTTTTCCATGGACTGGCCGGGGGATGGGGGTGGGGGGATGGTTCAGGCCAGCGATGGGGAGCCATGCGGAGCGGGGATGAAGCTTCGCTCGCTCACCCGCTGCTCACCTCCTGCTGTGCGCGGCCCGGGTCCTAACAGGCCGTGGGCTGGTACCAGTCCACGTCCCGGGGGTTGGGGACCCCTGGTGTACACAGTAAGGGCTCAGCAGATTATATGGGTGGAGCAGTGTAGGCTCCCAGCAGGGTAAGCCCCTCTCTACCCTTTCCAGGGACGGGGAAGGGGAGGGATCTTGGGGAACTCCTGGCTTCCAGCAGCAATCAGAGGCTTGGGAATCGGGCATTTGCTCCGAGTCGCCACCATGGGGCAGCAGACAATGTAAAATGGAGTGGGAGTGCTGAAGCCAGCATCTAGTTCTAAGTCAGCTGTGGTCTACACTGTGTTGTACTACCTCATGCTGGGTGCAGGGATGTGACTAGGTCCCTGGCTGCAAGAATCCCCCAGGCTGGTGGGAGGGACAGCCACATCAGCAGAGTCATTTGCAACATGAATAAATGCAACAATGGAGACATAATAATGATAATGTAATGAGGACAGCTAACTTTTCAGGGGCACCTTCTACATACTAGACCCCAGTTGAGTGCTTGCCAGGCCTGATCTCATTTGATCCTCACACAACCTTAAGAAGGGAGTACAAATACTGTGTCCATTTTAAAGATGAGAAAATGAAGGCACAGAAAGGCTAAGCAATTTGCCCATGGTCACACGGTTAATAAATAGCAGAGACAAAATTTGCAGCCAGGTCACTCTGGCTCCAATGCACCAAACAATACAGGTCATTATGGGGGATCCAAGGAGGGGTGGTATCCAATCCACCTGGATGGGGATGAGGGGCTTCCTGGAGATGACTTCCGAGTTGAGTTGTAAAGTATAAGCAGGAGTTGGCCAGATGAAAAGTGGCTGGGGTGAGGATGGCATTAGGGTCACAGGGAACAGGAATGAGAATAAGCATGACTATAAACAGTTCATGTGAGAGGCACGGAGGGGTCAGGAGGAGTCTGAAGACTATAATAGGGCCTGTAGGCCTTGTTGGAGACTTGGGATTTTATCTGAGGGTAATGGGGAGCCATGGAAGGATTTCGAATAGTGATATGACCATGTGTGTCCTCTAGAAAGATCCCTCTGGCCTCTGGGTGGAGAATGAGCCAGAGCATGGCCTAGAATGTCACTGGCAAGACCAGTAAATAGGCTACTGCAATAGTCCCAGCAAGTGATGGTGGTGGCTCACTAGGCTGGTGGCAGTTGGGGTGGGGATGGACAAGCTTGAAAGAAGCACTCAGAAGTTAAGTGACCCCTGGATGGGGTAAGGGTTAGGGTTAGGGTTAGGGTTAGCGTTAGGGTTAGGGTTGTTGGAATTTCCAGGAGTGGATTAACTCATCTAGGAAGAGTAAGAAAGTCAGAGGGCCTGGGGTGGAGCTCTGGGGGAACCCCACGTTTGAGGGGGTTGATGAAGAAAGTGCACTGTGATAGGCTAAATAATGGTCCCCCAAAGATATCCATGTCCCAATCCCTGGGACCTGTGAACATGTTACCTCACATGGCAAAAGGGAGTTTGCAGATGTGATTAGAGTTAAGAATTTTGAGATGAGGAGATTATCCTGGATTATCTGGGTGGACCCCACATAATCACAATGGTGCTTATAAGAGGGAGGCAGAAAGATGAGAGAGAGACAGAGACAGAGGCTAAAGATGCTATGATGCTAAGATGAAGGAAGAGGCCAGAAGGCAAAGAATCTGGGCGCCCTCTAGAAGCTGAAAAAGGCAAGGAAACAGATTTTCCCCTAGAGCCTCCAGAAAGAACGCAGCTGTAGCCCAGTGAGGCTGACTTTGGACTTCCGACTTCCAGAACTGTAGGATGATAAATTTATGCTGTTTTTAACCACTGAGCTCTGAGTGTAGCACCCACTGGGGAAGCGTAGGAGGCATGGTTTGAGAGGTGGGAGGAAGCCAGGGGAACAGTGTCTCACTGGGAACTAGAAAGTAAGGTGCAAGAAGGAAGGTGAGACCGATGGTCGGGGGTGAGGCTCAGGCCTCTGTGCTTGACAAGCTCCTGTGTGAATACTGGTCACTGTGCCTCCTGAAAGTTGAGGACATTTGGACAACCCAGACCAGGAATGCCAACAGAACTCCGGAGTGAGGGCAACGTTCTGTGGGCGTGCTGCCCAACATGGCCACCACTCGTCACCTGTGCGACGTGGCTACTGCGGCTGAAGAACTGAGGTTTTAATTTCACTTAATTTTAGTTAATTTAAATGGATATAACCATACGTGGCTTGTAGCTCCATACCGGATAGGACCTGGCACTTTCCAGGCCTAGACCTCACTTGGCTGCAGGTCTGGAAAGAGGCAAAGAGGTTCTGACCTGCTTGGAATCCCCTCTGGAGTGGATGAAGGTGGACAAGGGCTTGCCTCCTGCTCAGAGCAGGCCCTGGAGGCCTCGGGCCTCAGCTGCTGTGGGGTCACACTCACCCCCCTTCTGCGACTCGATCTCCTTCTTGGCCTGCTCCAGGATGCTCTTGATGGCGTCATCCGAGCCGGTCTCTGGTGTGCGGATTCTCGGGGTGATACTGCCTGGGGGAGGAAAGGAGGCATCTGCTGTGGGGACCTGCATGTTGGGGATCAGTCCCTGGAGCTGGGCAGGGTGACAGCCTGGTGCCCTCCTCTGAGGGCCAGACCGTGAGTATGTGTGGCAGGACCATCACTTTGCTAGTCTGTGTGACAAACTGTGGACCTACAAGTGATTCTAGCTTGAAATAATAATAACAACAACAAAACCCACTGACGGCAGCCACCATCAAAGCTAACAGTTCTCAAGAACTTACTACATGCTTTATGCTCATTTAACCTCCGCCATGAGGCTGACAGATGGGGAAACTGAGGCACAGAGCAGCTAAAGTGGATTGCCTGAGGTCACTCAGTAGATGAATGGTAGATCTGGACACAAACTCAGGTGTTTGTGAGGTCAAAACTTGGGCCCTTCACATGGATTACCCTAAAAACTGAGTCTGGCAAGGTTGGCAGTCACCCAGGCTGTCGTACAGATGGGTAAACTGAGGCTTGGAGGTACTCAGCGGGTATCTGCCAAGGCAGCCCCTGGGGCCCAGACTTTTCCCACCGTTATCAGCCTGAACGGCATCACAGCGGCCAGAGGGGGAAACTGAGGCACAGAAAGGCAGAGTCACTTGCCCCGAGTCACACGGCTGTGAGGTGGCAGACCCAAGGCTCTGAACCCCGAGCTGTGCTCTCAGACCCCAGCCAGCCCCATGCCCTGGGCTGGGTCGTGGAGACCAGGTCTGAGCCTGTGCGCCGCAGATGGGCCCTCGGCCGGCACTTACCTCGTTGCCGCACCTGGATGGTCCTCAGAGCCAGCACATTCTGCTCGTCCGACAGGAACTGCTTCATCTTGATGAAGGGCTCCTTGCCCTTCACCGTGAGCTTGCGCCAGGGCTTGGGCCGGGCCAGGATCTCGCTGACTGAGCCCTGGGACAGGCCCAACACGTAGTGGCCAAACACCCGCTGCCCGATGTTGTGTTTGAGCAGCTGCTCCTTCACCTGGAATGCGATCTCCGCCGTGTCCAGCTGCTCCTCCTCTGCCCCGGCCCCCGCTGTGGCCACGCCGCCGCCACTGCCCTCCGCTGGCTCAGGGCCCCCGGGTGGCTCAGGGCCAGGGGCTGGGGTGGCAGGGGCCGTGGGCGGCTTGGCGCCATAGAAGGCCGGGGGGAACACCAGCAGGCCTCCCGCCTCCCCCTTGAAGGCAGCCGGGGGCATCATGTGCTTGGACAGCAGCGTGTCCCCTGCCAATCTCTCCCCTGAAGCCAGGCTGGGGAAGGGGGACAGCGAGAAAGTCCGAGGGCCATCAGGGCCGAGGCCAGGGCCCAGCAAGGGCTGCCCTGGGCTGGGGGACAGGGGGTCTTCGGACCCTGGTGGCGGTGGGAGCTGTGGAGGGGATGGGTAGGACTGCTCCGTGCCCAGAGAATCCTTGATGGCAACATCCTCTGAAGGGTCTTCCTCTAGAACACCAAGGCAGACAGACAGAGGAAGAGAGGAGAGACAGAGAAAGAGAGAGAGATGGATAGTGATGGGGAGAGACAGAGACAGAGACAGGGAGAGAAATCACAGAGAGACACAGAGATAGGAAAACAGAAGTAACATGGGAGAGACAGAGACAGGCAGAGGCGGAGAGACAGAGACAGGCAGAGGCAGAGAGACAGAGACAGACAGAGACAGTGAAGGACAGAAAGCAACAGAAGGACAAAGAGATAGAAAGAGGGAGACAGAGAAACACATATAAAGAGACAGAAATTTGGAGGGAGAGGAAGGGGGCACAGGGCAGGAGGGAGTGGGGACAAGTGCTATAGGCGTCTGGCGGCGCGAGGCGCCAACACTGGCTGTTTCTGCCACACACACTCCCTGCCCCCTTCTCTGATCCCCATCCTTCAAGGCTCGGGCCAAATGCTAGTTCTGGGGAGCCCCCCTCCCACCATCAAGCACATCAACTGAGCACTCGTTATGGGCCCAGCACCTTGCCCTGGAAGGATTAACCCCCATCCCAGAGCAGGACAGCCCACTTCCTGGGTGCTCGCCCTGCACCCCTTGTCTATGCGTTTGTATTTCCCATGCTGCTAACTTACTCCACCCACACAGGGCCCATTACCGCCCCCATCTCACAGATGAGGAAATGGAGGCAGCACACAGAAAGTGTCGGCTGGGGCCACATGGCTGAAAGGTCATGAAGCCACTGTGTGAGGAGAAGAGGCGATGTGGGGGAGACAGGCGTGTCTGCAGGCCGTGCCCAGGGGTCTGCTGTAGGGGGTGCGGTGTGAATGCCCTCCTTGTCCCGTGACCTCTTCTACTGCTCTCGAAGGCTAGGGCATAAGCAAGCCCTTCGGGGGACCTCAGGGGGCCCTGAGTGAGCTGTGTGTCCCTGAGTGTGGGCGTGGATGTGGGTGGCACCCTGTGGGACAGCTGCCTGCTGGCTTAGCTGTGGATGGCGCCCAGCTCAGCCCCTGGCACCCAGGAGGCACTCAATCAACATGCCCGCCTTTTATCCATCATCCTCCGGCCCATGTGGAAGGCAGTGGTCTGAGGGCATGGAGGAGGCCAGAGACCCACGGGCAGCTCCCACCCCCGCCCCTCAGTCCCAAGAGCACCCCTCCTCCCCTACCAGGGCTGGCCAAAAGACCAGGCTTTTCTAGAAGGAATTTCTGCGCAGGGAAGAATGCCTCCTTTGCCATGAGCAGGGAGTCTTCGGGCTTTGCCATGCCCTGAGGAGACAAGAAGCAGGGCTGAGAGGGCATGGCTGGTACAAGGCTCTCAGGGGCAGCCTGCCCTGTGGGGAAAGTGGCGGGGACACTCACCTGGGGGAGGCTGCAGGTGTTGGAGGCCAGCTTCATTGCTTTGAGGATGCTGCCAGAGAAAGTGGAGAGAGTGTGAGGCCAGCCAGTTCCCCAGGCCGGGGGAGAGGCACTACGACCTGCTATCTTCCCTGATTGACAGCAAGGACCCCAGCCCCCAGGACTTCATGTAACACGGGACTCAATGGACAACAGGCCTTAAATAGTGGGCTTGTGAACTGGTCTGCTGTCACCTGAAGGAGTGTGGCTTGAGCTCATCTGATTAAGGCATCATCCCCCTGCCCAGTTACAGCACCAGCAAGGCTATGTTTTCCCACAGGCAGCTCTTGATGACAAAGGTCCGGGCATGACACCCAAGGTGCCAGTGGAGAGTTGACAAGGGTAACACAAAGCGGGGTCTGGTGGGAGGGAGGAAGATGGTGAACTTTGCCGAGGGCCCCTTGCTATCTTCCCAGGCAGCCCCCAGTCAGGCAAGAGGGCTTGGCGGGGGGGGGGGGGGGGGTCTATGGAGCCCCGCCCCACACAGTACCTCAGCTCTGTTTTAATTTCTTCATAGTCAGACTGTGCCTGGAGCTTCTCTTCCAGCTTCTAGAAGAACAAAGATGGTGAGGCTGGTCCACGTCCTTCTGCCTGGGGACTCCCCGCCCATCTCCCATCTGCCCACCTCCTCCCCAAGACCTACTTCGATGGCCTCCGACTTGGCCATGAGCTGCCGCTCTAGGTCTGCAATCTGGTTGGCGGAGGTCTCCTCCAGCTCCTGCAGAGAGTTCTGGAGGTGCCGCACATCCTTCAGCAGCCGCAGGATCTCCCGATCCTTGGAGGCCAGGGCAGCCTCAAGCCGAGGGCCCGAGCACAGAGCGAAGTTCACCTTATCCTGGGCACAAACAGGGGCTTGGAGGGGCCGGGAGGTGTGGGGCAGGGGGCTGCAGAGCTGCTGTGCTCCCTGGGGTGACTCAGCCCCTCTTACAGGTCTGTGGCTTTCCCCTTACCACTTCTAAGCCTTTGCTCAGGCTGGTCCCACCTGCCTGGATGTCTTTCCCTCTCTTCTTGAAAAGAAATAAGGAGGGAGAAAGAGTGGTCAGAGAAAGTATTTTGGAGGAAGCTATGTCTAAACTGTGATGAAGTTCAAGAACAAGTTAGTGATTTGGAAAGTTGCTTGGCAGCCTCTGCTAAAGGTGAAAATTCGGTGCCCTAAGTCCTGGTGGAATATATGCAGGAGAAATGTGGGCACTTGTGCACCAAGACACAGGATGTGAACGTTCACAGCAGCCCTCTCTGTAATAGCTCCAAACCTGAAACCCCCCAGAGGCCTACCCACCAGAAAGTGGACAGATTGTGGAATACTCACACAACAGAATACTAGACAGCAACAAAAACGAATAATCTACATTTACTTGCAACACAGTATGATGACTCTGCCAGATATATCACAGAGCCAAAGAAGCCAGACACCAAAGTGTACGCATGATTCTATTAAGATCAGATATCAAAACAGGCAAAACCCATCTGTGCTGTTAGAAGTCAGGGGGAGTGGCACCTGGATGGGGTCATGAGGGAGGCTTCCGGGTGCTAGAATGTTTTATTTTTTTTTTTTAATATTTATTTATTTATTCATTCATTCAGTTATTTATGGCTGCGTTGGGTCTTCATTGCACGCGGGCTTTCTGTAGTTGCGGTGAGCGGGGGCTACTCTTCATTGCGGTGTGCGGGCTTCTCATTGTGGTGGTTTCTCTTGTGGAGCACAGGCTCTAGGTGCACGGGCTTCAGTAGTTGTGGCACACGGGCTCAGTAGTTGTGGCTCAAGGGCTCTAGAGCACAGGCTCAGTAGTTGTGGTGCACAGGCTTAGTTGCTCTGCGGCATGTGGGATCTTCCCGGACCAGGGCTTGAACCCGTGTTCCCTGCATTGGCAGGCGGATTCTTAACCACTGTGCCACCAGGGAAGTCCCTAGAATGTTTTATTGTTGATCTGGATGCTGGTTATGGGCTGTGTTCACTTTGAAAAATTCCAAATGTTGTACACTTATGATATGCACGTTTTCCCTTGTGGATGTTATACTTCAATAACACATTTATTAAAAAGGAACAAAAAGAGCCCGCATGCCGCCAACTACAGAGCCCACGCGCTCTGGAGCCCACGTGCCACAACTAGAGAGAACGAAGAGCCCGCACACCACAATGAAAGATCCCACATGCCGCAACTAAGACCTGACACAGCCAAAACCAAAATAAATAAATATTTTTTTAAAAAAAGAAAAAAAGGAACAAAAAAGAACTAGTCAGTTGGGTGAGGAAGTGGTAGTTATAGGATGTTCCTGGCTGAGAGAACAGCAAAGGTTTGGGTTTCTAAATCGGGCCCAGGTCCCACTCCCGGCAACAGACCCACAGGATTAGACCTGAGACCTTGCAGCCATGAGACACGTTAGGGTGATTCCTTCCTCATCCTAATTTGCCACCAGCCCCAAGCCCCACAGCTTCTCCGGGTTTTAGGAAATGGCCCCTTTGTCCTGGTTGAAGATGAAGAGGTTTCTCTTTGAGGGGACATGAAGTCAGGCTGCCCTTGAGCTCAGTTACAAATGAATCTCAGCAGCATTACGTAGAAAAAAAACCAAAGAACAACTGACCACTACCAACCCCAGCTATTCTTCTATGGAGCTAAATGCCAATTAAAACAGGAAGCAGATGCCATTAACACATTAAATTAATTAGCATCGAGCACCACTGTTGTGCCCAGAAAAGCTCACCCCCCGGCCCAACCCAGCAAAGTTCCTCATGGCTGATTACCACAGGCATTTGCTGGCTTCCACGGGGGTTAATTAAGAACCACTGGCAAATTCTCTCTGAGGCATCCTCATGAGCGCTCTTGCTCTCAGTCTTTCTTGTGTTCATTCTCTATGTCGTGCAGACATCAGGCACGTTGATACATACACACTGCCTCCTGGGACACGGGCACAGGTGCACACACCTACGGACACACACTGACACATGTACCTGTGGGGATACTCATGCTGAGAAGCACACGCACGGAAATGCATAGGCACCAAAGAGACGTGTCACCATCACACACACAGATGTGTATGTGCTCAGAGGCCACATGCTCACGTGGGCAAAAACACCCTGGACATACCCCAAACACACTAGTAATAGTAACACTGCATTAAATATTTACTGAGCGTAGACTATAAACCAAGCACCATGTAATCCTCTCAAAAACCCTATAAGGCAGGTCCTATTTATACAGATGAGGAAACTGAGGCGCAGTTAGGTTAAGGATACAGTTATTTGCCCAAAGGTCACAAACAGACACACATACACAGTAACACACGTTCAGAGAGACTCATTCCAATATTTAAACAGAAAGAGAGATACAGACACAGGTCTATGTATCAGGGTGTCAGGTGAAATGAAAATTATGCCAGCCACTTCAGGTTCATGAATGGAGACTGCAAATCACCCTGGAGCAGACCTGTTATTATGTAAGCAATCATGAATTTCATTCCTTGATATCTGGAAAGAAATCTGGAAAGAAGGTGGACCAATTTACATAAGGAAGCCAGGCTTTCTGGGAGAGGAACAATGAAGACTCTTATTACATGACAGAAGGGTAGGTTGGGGTGGGCCTGATTAAAATCCCTTGGCAGGGGCTTCCCTGGTGGCGCAGTGTTTGAGAGTCCGCCTGCCAATGCAGGGGACACGGGTTCGTGCCCCAGTCTGGGAGGATCCCACATGCCGCGGAGCGGCTGGGCCCGTGAGCCATGACCGTGCCTGCGCGTCCGGAGCCTGTGCTCCGAAACGGGAGAGGCCACAACAGTGAGAGGCCCGCATACCACAAAAAAAAAAAAAAAAAAAAAATCCCTTGGCAGGAAATGTCCCCAGGACCCAAAGGGGCACCAACCTGGAGGAATGAGAAAGATGTACTGACTAACTGGCTTAACACAGGAACCTCAGGGTTGATGACTAAAGATTGGTTCTTTGTAACATGTGGCTGGTTGGGAAACCTCATTAGAATCACCCTGATACATTTTAGGAACACTTGGCTGATATGAGTGTCAACCTCAGCTCTCGGTAAGCAGCTCCACTGCTGTCTGGGAGGGACTGAGAACCAGTGGGGCATCCCTGTAGCAGTCCCCGCACATCTTCCAAGCAGTGTGAGACCAGTGGTCAACAGCAACACCTGGTGGCAGCCACCAAAACTGCACGGCTGCTCTATTGATCAAACTCACCCTCCTACCCACTCTTGCTAGGCATCTGGCAACTAAAATGATCCTCTTTGGCCTGACTAAATTCCAAAGTATATGGAATCAAGGTATGTGGAAGCTTGAGCTTGAAAAGTTAAAAGAGCTGTGCTGTTTTTGACCCTCAGCTGGTGAAGCAAGTCACAGTGATTATGTTTAACTACACACTGACCTTGGCAATTAAAATGCTATGCCCACAGTATGCACACAGAGACCCACACCCATTCATGTGCACAATTTCACACAAATGCGCAGGGTCCACCCACAAAATGTCACCCACATATTCAAACCCACAAACCTGGCCTTTCCCAACCTTTCCCCGTGGCTCCTCCACCATCCTTACCCCACTGGGTCCCTGAGGAGAGCAGCAGGCCAGGCGGATGGAGCTGTTGACAGAGGCAAGTTGTTCCCGAAGACTTTCCACCTCCCGCTGGGCAGCCTCGGCTCGCTGGGAAGGAAAATGGGGCAAGTGTGGTTAAGAGGTGAGCGGGGCCACACTGGATCCCACCCTGGCCCTCCACTGCTTCCCTGCACCGTCTCAGGCAGCAGCTGGGAAGGCAGGTCTGAGGGCCTGGGGTCCTCCTTTCTGGGTCCTGGACCCTTGAGTTGGCTCTTGGTTTCCCTGGTGTGTATCCAAGAGGAGCTGGAACATTCCCTCTTCACTAGGGCAGGAAAGGAGATGTTGTCTTGATGGAACTGGCAATTTTTCCCACGTTCCCAGGCCACTTCTGTCTGCCAAGTAAACTTCAGGCCTGGCTAGTCAAAAGGCCAGAGTTTGTCCCCAGCTCCTGTGCCATATGGTGTCTGCAGAGGTGGCTCACAAGCTGTTGCAGGCCCCTGGGCAAGTTACTTCCCCACTCTGAGTCTTAGTTTTCCTTTTGTGAAATGGGGGCAATGAAACTGTAGAGGAGTGTTGAAATACATCTAAAATCAGAATGCCACAGTTTACTAAACTGAATCTTAACTCTTCAAAAATTTCTAAGAAAAAGCTTGGAAGGAAGCATCCAAATGTTAACAATGTAGACTTGTGGCCTGGAGAGAAATCTGTACTTTGTCTCTCTTTCTGGTTGTATGACCTTGGGCAAGAAACTTCATATCCTTGGCCTCAGTTTCCCTGTCTGTAAAATGGGCATCATAAGAGCAACTATCTCATAGGGTTGTTCTGCAAGTAAGTAATTTGGTAAAATACAACTCATTAGGTATCTCATCTTGATGCCTGACACATACAAATGTGTCAATAACTGGTTTACTTTATTAACAACAACAGGGTGTATGGGATCTTGAACTATGGAAAATTAAAAGAGTTGCAATTGTATCTTGACCTCCAGCTGGTGATGCAGGTCATAGCAATTAAGTTTAACTTACACACTGACCTTAGCAATCAGGATGCTGTGCCCACTACATGCGCACAGAGATCCACACACTTCCGCGCGCACATTTCATTGATTTATGTTTTAACTGATTTGTTTATTAGTATCCTGCCTTGTTCCAGGAATGGTTTGAGTTAGGAGTCAGTTTTGTTTTGGGAAAGGTTTTGGGTGTGTGGGGTTGTAGAGAAAACATTTTTATGTTTCCACAAAGGGCATACTGAGCAAATGTGACTGAAACTTGGGATCTGGGCTAAAAGACAAGCCTTGGAGTTAATACATGACTGATTAGCTAGTGAGAACTCCAGAAAGATTCACCTCCTGGGAGATGTCTGTTGACATTTCAAGGGGGGATGAGACCCAGACCGTGGAGACACCCCCTGGGTTGTAAAGCTGGGTTTAAAGCTACTAGTCTTATCTTCCCCTGGAGAGTATTTATATTCCAAATGCTAGAAACCCAGGATCCTTGCCCTTCTGTTCATCATGATACTTCGGAGTAGATTTCTCTCCCTTTCTCAGAAGGTCCCTCTACTATACTATACAACCACCCAGATTCATATTTGGTTGGTTCCTTGCCTACAGCACAAACTCTGGTGCATGCAGGAGGATATCTGGTTCTCGTCTTGTCACCCCAGGGGAAGAACTGGGGCAAACTGGCATGGTTTTTACTATACAAGTAATAATGATCTGCTCTGCTCCAGAATCCTCTTGTTCACATTTAGGATAGTATTAATAAATACAGATATTAAAGACTAATATGATGACATTTACTTTTTTCTCAGTACTCTACAATGAGCAGGTTTTAGTTTTATACTCAGGAAAAAATAAACATTATTAAAAATGCTTCCTATTCAAACTACTCTAGAATCGCTCTTCCTAAGCCCACTTGATTGGCAGAGATCCAAAAGTTTGACGACACACAGTGCTGGTGAGGCTACTGGGAAACAGGCCCTCTCAGACCTTGCTGGAGGGAGTGCGTACTGGCACAACCCCATGCAAGGCAGTTTGGTCACATTTGCCAAATTATAAACGCACAGCTCTTTCACCCAACGGTTCCACTTCTAGGAATTTGCCCTATACAGTGGCTTGGGTATGTATCAAATGATATCTGTACAAGGTTATTCACTGCAGTATGGAGGATGATGGTAAAATACTGGAAATACCATAAACATTCATCAATAGGGTAGGAGTTAGACCAGAGGTTGGCAAACTGCAACCTGCTGCCTGTTTATGTAAATAAAGTTTTACTGGAACACAGCCATGCCCATTCGTTTCCATATCGTCTATGCTTCACTCTACCACTGCAAAGTTGAATAGTTGTGACAGTGACTTGCAAGGCCGAAAATATTTACTCTCTGGTCCTGTATAGAAAGTTTGCCTTCCCCTGGGTTAGACGATGGTGCGTCCATGTAGTGCAACACAACGCAGCTGTGAAACAGAAGGAACTGCTTTATATACAGATACGGAACAAGCTCTAAGACACATACACGGAAAAAGTAAGGTTCAGGAGGGTGTACATAGTATTAATAATTATTTTTTTTTTAAAGTTGCTAATTATTCTCTTAAGGATATGCATACCAAGGTTGTGATGATTTCTTTCTTTTATTTATTTATTTTTGGTCACACGGCATGTGGGATCTTAGTTCCCCAACCAGGGATTGAACCTGGGCCCTCTGCTTTGGAAGCGTGGAGTCTTAACCACTGGACTGCCAGGGAAGCCCCTCATTTTTGTTTTAGAAAGGGGTAAAAGTAGATATTCATGGGCTTGTGAAGGGATCTCTGGGAGGAGACCCCAGACACTGTAACAGAGGTTGCTAGGGAGAGGGGAACTGGGGGCAAGTTCAGGGAGGGGAGATGGAGTTTCCCGGCTATGCCCTAATGTACCTTTTTCAGTTTTGAACTAAGTAAATGGATTACCTATTCAAAAAATTAACCTAAAACACGTTATTTTTTCCAAACTTCCTCTGCAGGAGGGAGCACCCTGTCCTTAGGCTGGCATAGCCAGGCATCCGGGTCTTTGCCTCTGCTGTGCCCTCTGCCTGGAATGCCATTCCTCAAGAGAACGGCGCCTGGGCTTTAGAACCCAGCTGCAAAGTGTCCTCCTAGGAGGCCTCCCTCAACCACCCCCAGGGAAATGACCACTTGCCCTGTCACACTGCTGACCCCTCCTGGTCATGCCCCTGGCTGCTGGTGTTGCAGGGGACCGGGGAGAGATACAGTAGGTCCGCAGGACTCCAGACCAGACCCTTATGGCCACATCTTATCTCCTTTCAAAGTCCTGCCCAACTTTGTCCTGCAGATGGCAACACATCTGAAGCCAGGGGAAGGCAGGACATGGGAACCCCATTTATAAATGTGAAAACTGAGACTCGGAGAGGCTGAAGGACTTACAAGGACCCGGGCTGGGACTAGGATATGGGGCCCCCAGGGAAGGTTAGGGTCCACACAGTGCCTGCCTGGTGATCGAGTGAGGAGGTTGGTGGAGACCCCAGGTGGGGATGGAGGGAGAAAAGCAGCCCCAGGCTTGTCCCTCGTCACTGCCCTCCGTTCTATGGAACATAGCTCCTCACTCAGTCTGGTTGAGAGAGACCCATGTCCCAGCTTAGCCTGGGGATGGGCCTGGGATCTCTGGTCACTGCTCTGCCTTCCTCCCACAGGGAAGGGCACTCGTCATGCTCTGCAGGCTGCCTCCTGGCCTTTACCAGGGCCGTCCCGTGCCTGGAATCCATCCCTCTACAGTCTCAAGTTACTTGTCAGGTCTCAGCTCCACGACCCTTCCTGTGGGATGTCTTCCCTGACCCCTGAGTCTGGGTCTGGTGCCCCTTCCCCAACCATTGCTGCCTGCATCACCCTATTTCTGAGTGTTCTGTCTGTACCCCACCCTCCTTCCTCTGGGAACTCAGGGGCTGGGTCCCAGACAGCTCCCAGCCCCAGAACTCAGCATGGCATGTAGTTCAATTAATACCGATTGAGCTCAGCTCCCTCCTCTCCGCCTGGCCCGAGACCCCCGCCCCGGGGAGAATGAGCCCCCAGCACACGTCTCCTCACCTGATTAGCTTTCTCCAGGTTGGTCATGATCAGGCCGACTTCATCTGCCCTGAGACAGAAAGACGAGGCCCTGAGGAAGGGATTCTGGCAGCCACCAGTGCCCCCGCCATTCCTGAAACCCCCCAGCCCCTGCCAACCCAAGGGTCTCGCAATGGAGGCCTCGAGAAGGCTGCCTTCCATCCTTCCTACTGGAGAGAAACCAAGCTGGGGGGGCGGGGAAAGAATCCAGGCTGGGGGGAAATGAAAATGGGGCCTTAGCACTGGACCCCTTCCAGGCAGCCTGGCCTCCCATCTCCCCCAGGGCTCCACTCTCTGAAGGTGCCACAGAGCTACACCTCTCAGCCTTTGCCTCTGCTATGCTTTCCACCTGGATGCCTTCCTCAAGAGAACAGGGCCTGAGCTTTAAACCCAGCTGCAGAGTGTTCTCCTAGGAGGCCTCCCTCAACTACCCTCATTTATTTTGCTGCATCACCACCCCCTTAGGTTGACAGCGCCTAAAGGATCGGGACAGGCCTCATCCACCTCGGCTGCCCCTTTGCCTAGCAAGGGGTGGGGCCACAAGGGGCCTGCAGGGAGCATTTGGTGACTGAACGCCACACATGTGCTACACGCATGTTCCAGTTCAAGGCCTTCTTGGCATAAGCTGTTCCCACTGCCCAGAGCACCTTTCCAAGCATTCTTCATGTGGCCATCTCCTTCCCATCTTTGAGATCTCATTCTGAAGGTCATCTCCTCAGGGAAGTCCTCCCTGACTACCTGGATAATAGGACACACCCCTCCATGTTATTCTCTCTTGCTGCTCCTGTTTTTTCCCTTCATGGCATTTACCATGTGGCCACAACAGTGTCAGGCATACAAGTAAGTGCTCAACAGTGTCTGTGAATGAAAGACTTTATTCCTGTCCATCAGCTAGTGTCTGTCTCCTCTCCTTGACTGAGGACAGGCCCATGTTCTGGTGTTTCCTCCAGGGACCCAGCATAGCACTGGGTAAACAGTAGGTGCTAAATAAGTGTTTGTGGATTAAGTTATATCTTAAAGCCTGAAGAAATGTTGAGTCCAAAGTAATTTAAGTTAATGACACTTGGCCCTAAGGGTTGGACTGTGAAGCTGGGGAGTGGGGACAGCCCCTGGAGGCTGGGGCAAGGCAGAGGCCCATGACCAGCAGAGTCCGCTTAGCTGGAAACCCAGAATGTCCTTTATAGCTTGTGCTACATGGATGGCACCACAAATAAATGCTGAACAGCTGTGAGCCTATGCGGGTGTGGAGCAGAGAGTACTTAATTAAATGGGTGTCTCAGGTAGAATCCGAGGGAGAATATCAGAAAGAGGAGGCATGTCTAGAGGGTGAGAGGCAGGAGGCGTGTCTGGGAGGGTCAGAGGGAGGAGGCATGTCTGGGAAGGTCAGAGGGAGGAGGCATGTCTGGGAGGGTCTGAGGGAGGAGGCATGTCTGGGAAGGTCAGAGGGAGGAGGCCTGTCTGGAGGGTAGGAGGGAGGAGGCATGTCTGGGAAGGTCAGAGGGAGGAGCCGTGTCTGGGAAGGTCAGAGGGAGGAGGCCTGTCTGGAGGGTAGGAGGGAGGAGGCGTGTCTGGGAAGGTCAGAGGGAGGAGGCGTGTCAGGGAGGGTCAGAGGGAGGAGGCGTGTCTGGGAAGGTCAGAGGTAGGAGGCGTGTCTGGGAGGGTCAGAGGGAGGTGGCATGTCTGGGAGGGTCAGAGGGAGGAGGCGTGTTTCGGAGGGTCAAAGGGAGGAGGCGTGTCTGGGAAGGTCAGAGGTAGGAGGCCTGTCTGTGAAGGTCAGAGGGAGGAGGCCTGTCTGTGAAGGTCAGAGGGAGGAGGCGTGTCTGGGAAGGCCAGAGGGAGGAGGCGCGTCTGGGAGGGTCAGAGGGAGGAGGCGTGGCTGGGAGGGTCAGAGGGATGAGGCGTGTCTCGGAAGGTCAGAGGGAGGAGGCGTGTCTGGGAAGGTCAGAGAGAGGAGGCGTGTCTGGGAAGGTCAGAGGGAGGTGGTATGTCTGTGAAGGTCAGAGGGAGGAGGCGTGTCTGTGAAGGTCAGAGGGAGGAGGCATGTCTGGGAGGGTCAGAGGCAGGAGGCGTGTCTGGGAGGGTCAGAGGGAGGAGGCGTGTCTGGGAGGGTCAGAGGCAGGAGGCACACCTCAGCATGGCATTCACTTACTTGGATGCCGCCTCCTCATCGTATTTCCGCCGCAGCTCCAGCAGCTCTGTCTGCGTGGCCTTCAACGCTGGGAAAAATTAAAGTGCCGGAGTAAGGCCCTCCACCTCCAGGGAAGTGGAACCTGCTCCCCTCCTCTGGGGCCCGTAAGGCAGAATGAAGCTTGGGGTAGTGAGGAAAGATTTTTCTCTCAGAACTGGTGACAAGCAGTGAGTTTCCTGCCCCTAGAAGGGCTTCGAGCTGGAGGGAGGGCTGTGGCATAGCCAGGGTGGGGAGGGCAGATGACATGATTCTCTATGAGTCTATGAAGCTCAGGGGACCCAGGTAAGTGGAGGGGGCAGTCTGTCCCGGGACCTGGCGTATGAGCCCCCTAACACCTTTAAGGTCACCGCAGGACCTGGGTGGGGTTGTCCGTGCATGAGCTCACCCACCCTGAGGCCCAGCCCTGGAAGTGAGGGGACGGGAGGGGCAACGAAGTCAACAGATACATGTATATTACAACAAATGAGGGATTTCTCATAAAGTTCCAGATTTCTGATTTCTCTAGCAAAATGGAAGGGACTGGCCATACTGGGCAGTGCCTGGCTGGGGCTCAGCAGTGGCCACCTCTTTAGATCAGCCTGGGTTCTCCAGTATGACCCACACCCCACCCTTCCCTATTGCATATCCTAATCCAGCCAGCTTGGCTGCATGCCCGGCCCCTGTAGGCACTGCATTTGCCACCCCGGATTGAATTCTATCTCAAACCCTCTCTCCACAGTAGTACGACCCCCGGGACTGGGGCTCTGATCCCTGCTGGGTAATGTAGGTCTTTCCTCTCCCTTCCCAAACTCCTTTCTTGCCGTCCTGATTCTAGAACCCCCGACCCTGTGTTCAGTGTCGCTGCCCCCTCCCACTCCCCCTGGACCTCCTGGTCTGACTGGCTGGGGCGCTGCACGAGGGCAGGGGACATGTGCCAGATACACACCTGAATGTAGGACCTTGATCTTCTCCTCGGCTTCCCCCAGTCTGGCTGCCAAAGTGAAGGCCTGTACTTCCTGAAGGCCCCTGTGAAAAGACCTGCTGTGTGGACCGGCCCATCCTGGCTTCCTGTCCCCACTCCCACTCCCTGTAAGATCTGCACCTCCGTCTTTTTAATGAGTCCTTAAACATGACACTCAGGCACTTGGCTGCCCTGCTGTTTTGCTGACTGTGTGGCCTCCATTAGAGCTGGTGCCCAGTTAAGGTTCTGTAGCAGCCAGTGACCTTGCCTCTCTGGGCCTCAATTTCCTCATGTATAAAATGGGTTTCTGATGGAGTCTGCCTCAGAGAGTGTTGTGAAGCACGTTCAATGTGGTGCCCAGCACCCAGAGTTCCCTCAGTATCACTGGTAACTATTATTGTCCCCTTGAGAGGCACTTTTTTTCCCTTTTCTGTGGCCGGAGTTTGGGAAGCCCCCCCAGCCCACTGTGGTCTAACTTGGGTGTGATGCAAGCATCCCAGCAGAGAAGGAGGACCCCTAGCTATGCTGGGGGAGGGTTTATGCAAAGCCTGAGCCTTACCTTGGCGGGCTCAGTGACTCTAGGGAAGAAGCCCTGTTTACCTTGATCTTATCCTGCCCCCTCCCCCTCGCTCACTCCATTCCAGCCACACTCCCCTCACACATCGGGCACATTCCTACCTCAGGGCCTTTGCACTGATTGTTCCCTCTGTCCCTATATACCTGCAAGGCTCCCTCACCTCCTTACGGCTTTGCTCACCTTCTCAGTGAGGCCTCCTCCAACACTCTATTTAAAACTTCAGCCCCCGGGTACTTCCCTGGTGGCGCAGTGGTTAAGAATCCTCCTGCCAATGCAGGGTACATGGGTTCGAGCCCTGGTCCAGGAAGATCCCACATACTGCGGAGCAACTAAGCCTGTGCACCACAACTGCTGAGGCTGTGTGCCACAACTACTGAAGCCTGCACGCCTAGAGCCCGTGTTCCGCAACAAGAGAAGCCTCCGCACCACAACAAAGAGTAGCCCCCGCTCTCCGCAACTAGAGAAAGCCTGCGTGCAGCAACAAAGACCCAACGCAGCCAAAAATAAATAAAATTAAAAAATAAAAAACCAAAAACTTCAGCCCCCATCTTATCCTCTTCCTCTTCTGCTTTATCTGTCGTCACAATGCTTATCATGTAGCACACCACTTATTTATCGTTTTTGTTTCTGTTTTCCTCACTAGAAAGTAAACTCCAGGAGGGCAGAGAGTTTTGTCCACTTTGTTCATTGCTGTTCCCTAGGACAGTGGCTGGCACACAGTAGGTGGCTGCATAAATATGTGGAATGAAAAAATAAGTGAATGACAGGATAAATGTAACAATCATCATAAAATTGTCCTAGAAAGGCCCTAAGAATGCATATTTTATCACCACTGCACCAATCGTAAAGGCAAACATTTACTGACATGTGTTTCTCCCTGTGAGCACTGAGCTGAGCATATACAGGTGTCATTTCATTTCATTCTTATGGCAGACTAGGAGTTGACACTGCCTGTGACAGTCGGTGTTAATACGTCCATTTGGCTGGGCTATAGTACCCAGTTATTCAGTCATACACTAATACATGTACTGCTGTGAAGGCATTCTGTAGGTGGGGTTAACATCTACAATCAGTGGATGTTAACTAAAGGAAAATATTCGCAATAACACAGGTGGGCTTCATTCAGTCAGTTGAAGGTCTTAAGAACAAAACTGAGGAAGAAGAAATTCTGCCTCAAGATGGCAGCACTTACGCCCACCTGACAGTTTCCAGCCTGCTGGCCAGCTCGACCAATTCAGACTGGCCAGCCTCAATCGTGTGAGTTAAGTCCTTGAAATACAACTTTTTTTTTAAAAAAAAAATATTTATTTATTTGGCTATGTTGGGTCTTTGCTGCAGCACGCGGGCTCTTAGTTGCGGCATGTGGGATCTAGTTCCCTGACCAGAGATTGAACCCAGGTTCCCTGCATTGGGAGCGTGGAATCTTAACCACTGGACCACCAGGGAAGTCCCAAAATACAACTCTTAGTTAAAAAAAAATTCTACTGGTTGTTCCTCTGGGGGACCCTGGCTAATATACCACCATTAGCCCCATTTTCTAGATGGGGAAACTGAGGCTCAGTGAGGTGATGTGACCTGCCCAGGGCTGGCCACTGAGCTGCTGACGTGTGGCTTGAACCCAGACCTGCATCTCCCTCTCCAACCTGCATCTGGATTCCCAAAGGGTCCTGGGCAGGGGTGACTTTCCAGGTCCCCCCTCCCAGACAGGTGGAGCAGCGGGAGCCTGCCTGTCCTTCCCCCACTCACTTTTGTTTCTCTGCCTCATTTCTCTGCAGCAAAGTTTCTGTCAGGAGGGCTTTGCTGGGAATGCCTGGGAGGCGGCTCCCCTCAGTCAGCGTGGGCGCAGCCGGCGACGTCCCCTCTCTCTGTTCTGGAGGGAGAAAAAGAGGGAAAACCGCCCATTGCTGAGAGTGGCGTGACAGCCAGAGCTGCTTTCTGCAAACCAGATCGATCAACAGTGCTGGGAGAAGAATCAATTTCCCAAACTCAGCGTTGGAGAGAGCGCAGCTGTCAGGACCTGTTGTCACTGCGATCAGCTGGGTTGAGCCTTCGCGAGTGCCTGCACAAGAAAGTCAAACTCCATCGTGCCGGCCTCAGACAGCACACCCAGAGGCTTCCTTTGCCCTCTCAGACCTGTTCCTGCCTCCTTGGCCTTCTGTATGATTAAGAAAAATCATGGTAAAATATACATAACATAAAATTCACCATTTTAACCATTTTAAAGTGCACAATTTAGTGATACGTAGTATAGTCAAAATACTGTGCAACCATTATCAGTAATTCCAGAACACTGGCATCACCCCAAAAGGAAACCTGTCCCCATTAAGCAGTCACTCCCCACTCCCTTCCCTAGCCCCCGGCAACCACTGTTCTGCTTTCTGTCGCTACGGATTTGTGTATTTTGGATATCTCAGCACTGGAATCATAACACCTATCCTTTTGTGACTTGATTCTTTCACTTAGCATGTTTTTGAGGTTCATCAAGGTTGGACCATGTGTCAGTACTTCATTCTTTTTTATGGCTGAATAATATTCCATTTCATGGTTATACCATATTTTGTTTTTTCCCTTTCATCCATTAATGGACATTTGGATTATTCCCACAATTTGGCTACTGTGAACAGTGCTGCTATAAACATTTGTGTACAAGTTTTGTTTGAGCACCTGTTTTCAATTCTTTAGGGTATATCCCTAGGAATGGAATGGTTGGGTCACAGGGTAACTCCAGATTTAACTTACTGAGGAGTCACCACACTGTTTTCCCTTCCCCAAAATTGATGGCACACATTCAGATGCTCAGTCATTGCCCCTTACCTGCAGGTGCCCTGGGGCAGGGCCCACGTCAGGTCCATCTTTACAGGCCCTGTGGCAGTTCATTTGGGGATCAGTGTGCGCCTTTGGCACCGAACTTATGGAGAGAGAGTTGCTCAGGGGCCAGCCATTGAAGGTGAGTGGCTCAAGAGTTCCAAAATTTGTTCTCCCAACCTTGGGTCCAAGTGACTCAGTTAAATCCTGTCCTAGTTTTTAAGTTTCTACTGTGATCCTGGCACAGGAGGGTGAGTGTAGAGGTGGGCGGTTTGTAGAGAGAGCCCCTCTACTCTAGAGGCTAGTACAGCAGTCAGCTTATAATACACACATGCACGCACACACACACACGTGCACACACGTACTGGGTACGTTCCAGGTGCCTAGGCCACAACAGTGAACAAAAAGGCAAGTTTTGACCATTATGATGCAGAATAACAAGTGTCCTCAAGGAGAAACACAGCCCAGGACCAAGGTCAAAAACTTCTGTTCTGATTCCCCACTTGGCCACCTGTGGCTTCTGTGACTCAGTTTCCTCATCTGTAAAATGAGGTCAATGACACCTCAGAAGATTGATGCCAGGAGACAGTGAGATGCTGTGTGAAAGGCACACTGCACAGAGCAAATGCTCTCAAGAGGCAATTTCCACAACTACTATTATTCTTACAGAAGGAAGTTTGAACCTCAGAGGGACCTCAGAGGAAGGAGTGACAATTTTGCTGGGGAACCTCAGAGGCTTCACAGAGGTGTGTACATATGAGCAGGGGCTGAAGAACTGCCAAGTCCTGGCTTGTCAGTGTGGTTGGAATCGTATTCCAGGTGCAGGACCAGAGTTGGCAAAGTGCTGTTATTTTAGTCACTGTAAATCTTCCCCAGAAGACCCTGCCTAGGGCCAGGCTTACATCAGGTGCTCTCTATGTAATGTGGGGAGGGGGAAGGGAGGAGGTTGTGAAATGGGGGACTGTGAGAGAGTGGTTGTTTCCTGAGAAAAGACTTTGTGTCATGCTTTCATTTGACAGGCCTCAGCCCATTTTATCTTCACTACGTGCCAAATCTGGCCCACTACCTGTTTTGTCAATAAAGTATTATTGAAACAAAGCCATGCCTACTCATTTACATACTATCCATGGCTGCTTTCACCCAGAGTGAAGTAGTTGTGACAGAAACTACATGACCTGCAATACCTGCGATAATTGCTTTCTGGCCCTTTTCAGAAAAGGCTTGCTGACATCTGAGGTAAATCCTACTCATTCGTTCATTAAACAAGAATCCCTTCACCTGACTCCCCCAATTCTCTGCTCAATTTTTTCCCCAAAGTCTTTCTCACCAACTGACACACTATATATTTTACTAACATTTATTGACACTCAGTCCCTCCCTCTAGAAGGTCAGCATGATGAGAGCAGAGATTTTTGTCTGTTTTGTTCCTGGCTGTGTCCCCAGTGCCTACGACAGTGCCTGCAGGTCAATGAACATCCAAAACTTGGACGGTTACCAATGGCTTTCACCTGCTATTTGCTCCTCCCTATGGTAACCTCCTACCTCACCTTCCAAAGGTAACCACCATGCTGAATTTTGTTCACCATTCTCTTGCTTTTAAACATTTTTATCACAACATATGTACACCCAAACACTATTATTTTTAGCTTTGCTAGTTTCTTAACTTGTCTCATTTGGGGCTGAGACAGTGCTGTGTTCACTACATCCTATTTCCCTTTCCTCCTGGGCACACAGCCAGACTACATTTTCCAGCCTCCTTTGCAGCAGGGATGTGGCCAAAGTGATGTGCGCCACTCCCACAACCTCGGTGTGATCCTCCACATTCTTTCTCTGCCTGTTGGCTGGGTGTCAACATTCACTGTGACTCTGGATGTCGAGGACTGACGATGACAGGACTACCACAGCCTGGGTCCCTGAATGACTGCGTGGAGTGTCCCCTGCAACTTCCCCTCCCTTCAAATATATTAACCCTCTGAGATTTGGGGTTGGTCTGTCTCAGCAGAAGTGCACCTTAACCCATCCCACATCTAAAATTATGATGGAGCTGAGTTCCCTGCCCTCCTTCCCCCACAAGGGTGGCCGAGTTTGGCTGCCAAAGATCCACAGCCCATTTGTTTATTATGGACATCCTGTGAAAACCTTATCAGTACCTTTGGGGCCGAGGAGCTCAGGGTGTCTCTTCCACGAACTGTGGAGCTCTCGCCGCGGCTGCCCGCTGGGGTCGAAGCTGGGGGACTGCAGTCTGTCGTCTGGGCTGCGTGAAGCCTCAAACACAGGCACGGGGTCTGCACAGAGAGAGGAGGACAGGGGTGGTGGGAGCCCTGGGGGCCAGGGGGTGCCCCGGCTGAGGCCACAGGGCCAGGCAGCTTGGGTGGGAAGAACCATCCATAGGAGCCATCTGGAATCGCTCTGGTGGCTTAGGGGAGCAACGTGGACTTTCTGCTTTATGAGGGAGCAGATCTCCAGGCACCTGCTCTGGAGAGCATGTGCCATCCCCATGGGTGTGGCTGTCCTGCCCAGCTGGGAATAATAATTATCATAATAACTTCATTTTCCTGATTCTATATGCCATCTGTGGTGGCCATGAGATTGTGTCCTGCACACCACCGACCACAGGGAACATCACCTAGCAAGGACCCTAGCAGGCACACTCTGAAATCCATCAGTTCAAACCTAGCCTTCTCATGGGACTTCCCAGACAAGGCCTGCAGGCAGCAAGGATAGAGGTAGGCCTGCTCCTGGGGGACACAAAACTGCTCTGAGGGCTGAGGACCGGCCCGTGGCCTTCCCCAGTGCTTCCTTCCTTAGGCTATAACGTGGTCTGGATGCTTTCACCCAGTTCCCCACCTCTCCTAGCTCCCTCCCTATTTTCCTTCACCCGTTGTCATCTTTGCACATATAACCCTTGGGGTGCTTTTCAATGGATCTGGGCCAACACACCATCATTTGTGACACTTGTGGCCGATTAAATAATAGTTTTTCTGGGGGCGAGATATACCTCTGGATATAAAATGTCTCCGTATTTCCCAATAGCTAAATTGAGGACTCCAGGTCCTTCCACCTGCAATTCTGTCCCCCCTCCCACCCTGTCACCTAGCAAGCACTTCCTCTTCCTTCAGATCTAGAATCCAACACCTCTTCTTCCAGCAACTCCCCACCTGGGGCAGGAGGTTTGGTGTAGCATCTTCCATGTTACAAAGCCAGTCCCTGGGAATAGGTTCCCACGATGCACCCAGCATCCCCTGGAGGCTGGCCTGGATCTAACTTGTTTTCACATATGAGGAAACTGCTCAGAGAAGCCAGGTGACTTGCTGAAGAGCAGAGGAGAGACTCAAGTCTGGGTCTCTTTCTCTGATGCCACAAAGACTTCCTGTCTCAGTGGTGTGGATATTTCGACCCCAGTAGCTGCAGGTAGGTAGGTGTTCATGGGGTCCCAAGAAAGCCAGGGCCTCCTCGCTTCAGACCAAGGGGGCTGGTCTGGTCCACATTTTTTCTAATGCCCCAGAGCCCTCTCTCTTCCTGGTCCCTCCTTTGGGATCTCCCACCAGCATCTGCTTGGCCATTGTTCTCTGCTGGTGTGGACCCTGGAGTCAGATGTCCCTGGTCCTGGTCTAATCTTAGGATTGCTGTGTGACCCTGGTAAATGGCGCTACCTCTCTGTGCCTCACAATAAAAGTACCGACCTCGTGAGCCTGTGATGAAGATTCACGTAAAGTGCTCAACACGGTGCCTGGCACTTGGTCAGCTCAGGACAAATGGAAGCCCTCACTATTATTCCTGCCCTTCTGAGTGCAAGCCACACTGACCTTCTTCTCTCAGTCCCTCAAACGCACCCCAGAGACTTTGTACGGGAGGCAGCCTCTGCCAGGAACACCCTGCCCTCCCCTATCCCTTTCAGCTAGTTAATGCTTACTCATCTTAGCAACTCAAATGCCAATTCTTCCAGGAAGCCTTCCTTGACCAGTTGGTCTTCTAGTATGAGCTCTCCCAGCTGCCTGCACCTTTCCTTCACAGCACTCACTGTACTTCCAATTTTCATTGATTTGCAAGTGCACCTAATTAATACCCGCTGGACTGCAAACTCCACAACAAGGCAGGGCTGGGACTGCATCTGTTCTTGCTCCTCCACTGGACCCCTTGTGGGGTGAATGAAGCCTGACCCACAGTCCAACCCAATAAATATCTGCTGATGGAAGAAACGGGGCAGAGCCTATACTTGGGGACCTTCAGGTCCGGCTGGAACAAGGCCACCTCTGCATTTTATCCCTCTTCTCCCGCCTGTTTGTTTAGGCGGTGGGAGGCTCAGACAATGGGTGTTTGTGTCGAGGTAAGCAGGTGCACGGGAACGCTGCTGCTGGCTTTCCTCTGTCAGCACTCCCCCATGCCCCATCATTAGGCAGGGGCTGCTCAGCAGGGTATGCCATTATGTCTCCCCGGGCTGATGTAATTATACATTGACATAATTAACCCAGCAAGCGCATTAGGCAGGCCAGCTAAAAATTCATCTATAATTATTTGTTGTGTGCATGCTAATGAGTCCATCTGCACTGCCTTTGTACAACACGGACAAATTAATTTACAAGTCTGGATTTTTTAATAAGTTAAGGGAAACGCTTCCTATTGTGTCCTGGTTTTTGAGAAAGGAAGAAAAAGGCGACAAGCGCTTGCCGGGGTCAGGGAGGTTAGATAAACACGGGAGGCTGCAGCTGAGAGCGGCATGGAGGGCTCGCTCTGGTTCCAGGGAGGTGGGAAAGATCCAGCTCATGGCTCAGGGGCCGGCTGGCTAGGAGCCTGTCCAAGCCAAAAGATGACGCTCGGGTGAAAAAGGAAGTCATTCACCCCATTCCCAGGGATCAGAAATTGACGTTTGTTGTGCGCGGAGGCACTGCGGTCCCCTTGCTGCCTCGGCCTCTTTGTCCAGGGGAAGCTGGCTGCAGGTGGCCTCCTGGACAGACTGGAGGAGGTGGGCGGCGAGTGGACACTCAGTACGGGGTCAGCGGGTTCCAAGGCTCTCTTTGCCTTCATTTGCCAGTACAGGGTAGAACATAGTGGTTAAGCTCTCAGAACATGAAGTCCAGCGCTGGTCTCAAGACTCAGTTTCCCCACTTAAAAAGTCAGAAAATATTACAGTTTCTACTTCTCAGAAGTTACTACTGGGAAGACTGAAAAAGATTACTGAGAGAGGCAGCACGATTTAAGGACTGCTGGTGTCAGCTCCAGCTCTAAACTGGCCATGTGACCTTTGGACAGTTAACCTCTCCAAGCCTCCATTTTCTTATCTGTAAAATGGGGCTGCAAGGACTGAATGAGAGAATGTGTATAGAGATTTGCACAGTGCTGGGTGCACAGTAGGGCTTGATAAGTGTTGGCTGCTGTTACTACCCTGAGAGGGGGCAGCACACCGTCCCGTGACATTCTAGGAGCTGCGGTCTACATGGCAAAACTCCACGGAGACTCAGGACAGGGTAAGGCCTCATATACTCTCATCAGTGCCTGGGAGACTCAGAATCCAGTAATCCTGCGTTGAGCTCCACTCAGGGTCTCAAAGGATCCAGCTTAGAAAGTCACACTGAGGAGGGACAATTTGTCAAGTGTCCAACACCCCTGCCCCAGTGCACAGTTGGGGAAAAATGGGGTCCCGTGACTTCCCTGAAGTCTGCCAGTGAGTTGGTGATAGGGCCAAGATGGGGCCTTGGGCCTCGGCCTCTTCTTCCCACACTGTGCTTCCTCCTAGATCCTCAATTTGAGACAGGAAGTCAGGGAAGGTTCAGATGACTCAGCCGAAGTCAGGCTGTGGCCAAATCCTAACAGCCGGAGCACTTTAAATTGATTAGAATTCATACAGTCTTCACCACAACACTGTTAGTAGGGCTGTTGTGTTCCCATTCTATAGATGGGCAAACTGAGGCATGGGGGAGTGAAATCACTTCCCCAAGGTGAGGCCCAATAAGGTAGATGCTGCTATTTCCATTTTCCAGGCAAGGAAATGAAGGCCCAGAGAGGAGATTCCATGTGCCCAAGGTCGCCGAGTTCAGAAGTGGCAGGGGTGGGATTTGAACCCGGAGTCCCTGGTGATTCTTTGTAGTGGGCTAAGCTGCCTTGAGGCAGGGCATGGGGGATTACTAGGCCAGAAGCACGAGAATGAGGGCGCTGTTCTTGGCCTCGCCACAGGCTTGCTGTGTGACCTTGGACAAAGCATCAGACTTTTCTGGGCTCCAAATTTCTATCACAAGTATCCCTGAGGCACACACTCAATCAACATTGGTTATCACCAGATAGGGGTGTGGTCCTGCCAAAGTGAGTGCTTTTGGCCCTGGGCCTATTCCTTGGCGCTGGGATGCTCAGGGAGAGTGATTATTAAACGCCTTCATAGCTGAACTTGACACTTGAGGTTTGAACATTGTGAATCCTCCAAATTCCCAAAGCCACTCTCAGATAAAGGGGGAGAGGGACAGGTTGGGAGGCTGATGGTCAAATCCTGGCTGTGACAACTTTAGGGGAAGTCACTTAGGTCCCCTGAGCCTCAGTTTCCTCCTCAGTAAAACAGGGATAACAACAGGACCTACTGTAGAGGGCTGTGCAGGGACTCCATGAGCACGCTGAGCCCCTGCGACAGTGCCTGGCACCTAACAGAGTCTAAGTGAGCATTACCCTTATTCTTATGACTTGTGGCAGTGTGGGATGTGCCACCCAGCTCTCCCTTCAAGAAAGAACGTCCTGCGAGGAGTTGGTGACAGGCTCCAGGCGCTGCACCTTTGGATACACTGCAGTGTTGGTTTGGAGGTCAGGTTTCCCCAGGCCTGCTCCCAGCCAATGACCGAGCAAGACAGTCATGACAGTAGGGCTGGGCCACTCCTGCCGATGCTGGAAAAGGCAACCTAGTATCATAGACTAAAATGTTTTCCCCCAAACCCATATGTTGAAGCCTTAACCCCTGATGCAACTGTATCTGGAGACAGGGCTTTAAGGAAGTAATTAAGGTTAAATGAGGTCATTAAGAGTGGGGCCCAATCTGATAGGACTGCTGTCCTTACAAGAAGAGGAAGAGACACTAGAGCTTTCTCCCTCTGCACGTGCAGAAAGGAAAGGCCACGTGGGGACACAGTAAGAAGGCAGCCATCTACAAGCCAGGAAAAGAGCTCTCACCAGAAACCAACCCTGCTGGTACCTTGATCTTGGACTTCCCAGCCTCCAGAACTGTAAGAGAGAAAATTCTGTTGTTTAAGCCACCTAGTTTGTGGTGTTTTCTTATAGCAGCCTGAGCAGACTATTGCATCCTGCTTTG